ATTTCAAACCTCGGTTATGACCACACAAGGTGGAATCCCGACGCTGGTCGGTGCGGAATTTGCAAAGGCGTAGGGAGCATAGAAGTTCAGTACAGCAATGGACGTCATTGTTGCAATACCTTCTGCAGCCTATCGCTACAAATGCCGATGGCAACCTGCCATGCCTGACGGTCGCCCATCCAAGCACAATCCAGGCTCAAGAAGTGTGCTTAGCTACGCAGATACGATATCGGGTGCATTCCAGATGATTTGGTAATGGGCTTACACATACCATCATATCTACATTTACAGACATTTACAACAGCATAACGGATTTGTCATCATCACAATGGATAACCACTCTCACGCCCACTGATTCATGAACCAGCAGTGCAGAGGCACAAGTTCAGCGGTGGGGATTCACTTCTCAACGATTATTTTCCGAGTCGCTGGGAGACTGTCGTAGGTGGCACGTGACTAGCAGTGGCAACAGCTCATCGCGAGATGTGTAGTGGATATGGCGTGCGGCGCACGGATTTTTCTTTGTATGCCGACCCAGACTAACACGGCAAAAATTTAGCTCCGGTTCTGGGATAGCGGTTTAGAGAGGACAACAGATTGGGGAGCCCTTCATCCAGCTGCAGATTGATCATGGCTGACGATGGTGATGGTAATGCAGGCCTGGTGCCACACACCTGCTCCCCTGGAAGACGCTCACACCCCTCATCCACTTGCACATCTGAACCATGTCAACACGGGCCCGGCGTGGTACAGACGGTTTCCCACTGGCATTCTACCAAGCCGTGTCAAAGCTATCCAATCGCGGCTCAGGAACCAAGCATGGAACAACGCGTGCACGGCAGCGGTTGTCAGTGGAAAAATTATGTCTAAGTGAATGCTTAGGCTGAGAAAGCCAAGGAGGAGCTCACTGCTAACTATCCCATTTTTTTATTTTACCAGGTAAGACCCACTGAGCCATGCAGCTCATTTTCAGAAGCGAACTGGCTATCACAAATGATAGCTCAATCCAGTCGCTTATCACGTGGAAATGTATAGCAGCCAAATACTCGCATGTTTCTAAATGTGGAGGGAAAAACCGGAGGACCCAGAGAAAAATCCACGCAACCACAGGGAGACACTGAAACTCCAAATATACAGCAGGCATCAGGGTCAAGAACGAACCGACTTGTATACCCGGCGAGGTAGCCAACATCTCGCCACCAGAGCGCCGTAACGCCGAGTCATCGTGCAGATATGGTTAACCGCATCGAAACGCAGAGGCACAAAGTGAGGAGAGGAACAGCCGAACTGGAGCGGTGACGAGGTGACAGAAAACCCGCCCCCCACACCCCCACCTCATTAATGGAGGTAACTTCGGCATGGTCACAGTATCCCGGAAACTCCAAGTGGGAGCAGCTGCACCCAGGCACCTAAGGCAGAGCCATTGTTGTGTGTGCATGAGTGTGCATTCGAGTTCTTGTGTGGGCGAGTGATGCGAACAAGTGCACGGGTGAGCATGTGAGTGAGCGAGTCAGACTGTAGGCGAGCGAGTTTATCGAGTAAAAGTGCGGTTTTGAGGCCGAGCGATTTTGTAACCGAGTGAGTTTGTGAGCGAGTCGCTGACCTTGTGCGTGGGAGAGCGCGAGCCTGAGCAGGAGAGTGCTCGAGAGTGGCCGAGTGAGAGTGTGGCCGAGCGGGCGTGTGGCCGAGCGGGCGTGTGGCCGAGCGGGCGTGTGGCCGAGCGGGAGTGTGGCCGAGCGGGCGTGTGGCCGAGCGGGCGTGTGGCCGAGCGGGCGTGTGGCCATGTGAGAGTGTGGCCGAGCGAGAGTGTGGCCGAGCGACCGTGTGGCCGAGCGGGCGTGTGGCCGAGCGGGCGTGTGGCCATGTGAGAGTGTGGCCGAGCGAGAGTGTGGCCGAGCGGGCGTGTGGCCGAGCGGGCGTGTGGCCGAACGAGAGTGTGGCCGAGCGGGCGTGTGGCCGAGCGGGCGTGTGGCCGAGCGGGCGTGTGGCCATGTGAGAGTGTGGCCGAGCGAGAGTGTGGCCGAGCGGGCGTGTGGCCGAGCGAGCGTGTGGCCGAGCGGGCGTGTGGCCGAGCGAGCGTGTGGCCATGTGAGAGTGTGGCCGAGCGAGAGTGTGGCCGAGCGGGCGTGTGGCCGAGCGGGCACAGGAGCGAGGGTGTGGCCGAGCGGGCACAGGAGCGAGGGTGCTATTTATGTAAGAATTCACCCTCCCAAGGACATTCAATGATTTTCACGATTCGAGGCCAGGAATATTTTTTTAATAAAATTGTTAATTATCTACGTTTCCTACCTCGGTTGCAAATGATCGTTTTTGTTCCATCTCGTTTATATAATTTGTCACTCCTCTAGCCTAAATGTTAAATGCGCACAACATTCGCATGTCATAAACACAAATCAATAATTGTCGTGCTCTTCAATGTGTGCGGTGTTCATAGGAATCTAATTAATCTAATTCTATCCGTCATTACACCGCATACAGCATCACAAGATAGTGAGCAGTCGAGTGATTGATTGCTAACTTCAGTGAGCACGCACAGAGCGAGCAAGCGTCCGAGTGAACGATCAAGTGAGAGTGGCTAAGAGAGTGAGTGAACGAGTGACAGACCACACGAGTAGTGAATGAACAAATGAGTGATCGACTCCATGTGCGAGTGAGCCAGTGGGTGAACGAGTGAGTGAGTGAGTGAGCGAGTGTCCCTGGTCACGGCGCTGCAAGGCTCTGGTCAATCCACTGTAGGTACGCAGCGCTGCCCTGCTCGATCTTGAGACCTATGACCTCCGGGACTTCATATGGGTGGGAGGCCCTGCACAGAGACAAAAAAAGATCCCTGTGTAGCCTACACAGAGATTTACGGGGCAAGTGCTGTTATAGCTGGCACCTGTTATGAAGCCGTCAAGGTGTTCACAGGAGCGATGTGGCCAGCAACGTCTCAACAACAACAACCTCCGGTCACAGCTAAGTGGAGGTGACGTCAAGACACTAAGTGCCAGGCTAAGTGCACTTGGAGGACACGTGAAGTGTCGAAGGCTCTCTGTTGGCAGGTCACGGGACAGACCCAGGTGCTATGGGTTGACTGAATGAGACGACATATGCACACTCATAAACATGCGCACGCGTGTGTCCGTGTGGGTCAACGTGTATTTGTAGTTGCACGTGCATTCATTTATGTGTATGATGCACATAAACGTGCATACATCTATGTGTATGCATGTGTGGTGACATGGAATGGGTGACTATGGCGTGTAGCGCTGGTTGCTGGCAGAGAAGGGGATCTGCTGTTGCAGCAGCCCTGTCTGCCAGCAGGTCACGTGATCAGCCGGAGAAAGGGATGTGGGAACCTTCTAGTAGGTTCTAGAAGGGGGGCGTGGCAGAGGGCGGAGCGAGGCCACGCTGGGTGGATAAAAGGGGGACCCCTGAGCAAGGTTCGGGGCTGTTGTTTGGAGTGGAACCGTCGTGCTGCTGGAGTCTTGGTCACCGTCTTCACCTCTTCGGCGTTGATGGTCAGGCAGCCTGTTAACTGTCCTGACCATAGTGTAGTTACTCCTTGCACCTGTGAAGGCTGTAATAGAGTGCCTCCTACTATTAGTGTCTCTGAGTGCCTCACTAAACGCGTATGCCTGTGTGCATTGTGTATGTCTGTGGATACACGCACACACACATGTACGAGTGTGTAATGTGTGCTCGTGTATGTGGGGAACGGTAATGTAGCAGTTAGCGCACTATACTACGAACCTGGCAAAACGAGTTCGATTCCCTAGGTCGACTCAACAGGGCACGGTGGTGCTGGCCACCCACCCCATCGTGCGCCGTGCCGACCTTCTAAAGTGCTGCTCACTAACAGCACTTGCACCAACAGTTTGTTAAAGGCTACACAGGGGACCTTTGTCTTTGTTTTGTACCCACCGCACATGCTCTTCAAGTGAAGGCACCAGGCTGCTGCTGGTCTTCACCACCTGCTCGGCACAGAGAGGACACACCCAGCAGACCCTCACTGAGCCTGACAGCTCCCGTTCAGGAGGGTCCCACTCATTTGTGAGACCTCAGCCCAACTGGTCCATGGCCTTGAGGCCGGCTCCAAATCGTCGTCTCCGCTCTCGTCTCTGGCCTTGGCCTTGGCGGTGTGGGCCTGGCGGGTTCACACCGCACCAATCGGTTGCGCAACTTGCAACTTGGTGGCGCAAATGCACAACTCTGTTGCGCAACCATGTTGCACACAACGAGACCACTTACATGTGGACTCGTCCGCAACCGTTTGCTGCTCGCGGGAGAGACGGACTCGACCCCTAAGCGTCGATACGCTCAGCGATTTGTAGTGACTGGTTTCCTCAGCACACGGCGATATTTCGCACAGCTACCATTGCTCGTCACAATCTCCGCGCGGGGGGCGAATGGGGAGGGAGTGGAGCCAACCAGGCCAGGGGTGGAGCTCTGCTGTAAGTGGCGTGACCAGATGCACTTTTTACCCACAGCCAGACACTTTATAGCCACAGCCAGACACTTTCTTGTTGTGCAACTACTCCCCCCAGAAGTGGACTAAGCAGTCGCGAGCAAACTGTGGTTGCGCTGTTTTGAGTAGAGCGATTTTGGCTACACAATGACTGATCGCTCAAGTGTGGAGCCAGATTTAGAGAGAGTCAAGCCTAGACACTGACCTCAGTCGAAATGGTTGAGGCCAAGTTTGGCCTTGAGACTCCCGGTCTGGAATCCAAGTTCGGTTCAGCTGAAATTTGGATGAAGCTGAAGGAGGATAAACCATCATCGCGTGAACTCCGGTCAACTTCGCAGCAGAGGCATTTGGCCGGCCATTGAACAAAAGCGGCCACCGCATCGCGCGCTTTCAGAAGCGCTTCTGCGGCCGTCTGGAATGCTCTTCCTTCCGAAGTTAGGAAGCCCCCTCTGCTCTCCTGTTCCTCCTGTGCCCACCCCCTCCCCCACTTTGTCTCTTGGTCCCCTACCCTGCCCTGTCCCATTCCTCCCTCCACACCCCCGGTCCTCCGTACCAGAAGAAACTCTCCTTGCTCCTCCACGCGGCCCTCCCAGTGGAAGCTGTGACGACAAATGGGGACAATAACACACACGCACGCACGCACGTGTGTGTCAGTATGTGGTGTGGTGGCTGTGTGTATGTAGTGTGGTGACTGTGTGTAGTGTGGTGACTGTGTGTATGTAGTGTGGTGACTGTGTGTATGTAGTGAGGTGGCTGTGTGTAAGCGGTGTGGTGACTGTGTGTATATAGTGTGGTGGCTGTGTGTATGTAGTGTGGTGACTGTGTGTATGTAGTGTGGTGACTGTGTGTATGTGGATTGGTGACTGTGTGTACGTGGTGTGGTGACTGTGTGTACGTGGTGTGGTGACTGTGTGTACGTGGTGTGGTGACTGTGTGTATGTAGTGTGGTGACTGTGTGTATGTGGTGTGGTGACTGTGTGTATGTGGTGTGGTGGCTGTGTGTATGTGGTGTGGTGGCTGTGTGTATGTGGTGTGGTGGCTGTGTGTATGTGGTGACTGTGTGTACGAGGTGTGGTGACTGTGTGTATGTAGTGTGGTGGCTGTGTGTATGTAGTGTGGTGGCTGTGTGTATGTGGTGACTGTGTGTATGTAGTGTGGTGGCTGTGTGTATGTAGTGTGGTGGCTGTGTGTATGTGCTGTGATGACTGTGTGTATGTGGTGTGGTGACTGTGTGTATGTAGTGTGGTGACTGTGTGTATGTAGTGTGGTGACTGTGTGTATGTGGTGTGGTGACTGTGTGTATGTAGTGTGGTGACTGTGTGTATGTGGTGTGGTGACTGTGTGTATGTGGTGTGGTGGCTGTGTGTAAGTGGTGTGGTGAATGTTTGTATGTAGTGTGGTGACTGTGTGTATGTAGTGTGGTGACTGTGTGTATGTAGTGTGGTGACTGTGTGTATGTGGTGTGGTGACTGTGTGTATGTGGTGTGGTGACTGTGTGTAAGTGGTGTGGTGACTGTGTGTAAGTGGTGTGGTGAATGTGTGTATGTAGTGTAGTGACTGTGTGTATGTAGTGTGGTGACTGTGTGTATGTAGTGTGGTGACTGTGTGTATGTAGTGTGGTGGCTGTGTGTATGTGGTGTGGTGGCTGTGTGTATGTGGTGTGGTGCCTGTGTGTATGTGGTGACTGTGTGTATGTAGTGTGGTGGCTGTGTGTATGTGGTGTGGTGGCTGTGTGTATGTGGTGACTGTGTGTACGAGGTGTGGTGACTGTGTGTATGTAGTGTGGTGGCTGTGTGTATGTAGTGTGGTGGCTGTGTGTATGTGGTGACTGTGTGTATGTAGTGTGGTGGCTGTGTGTATGTAGTGTGGTGGCTGTGTGTATGTGCTGTGATGACTGTGTGTATGTGGTGTGGTGACTGTGTGTATGTAGTGTGGTGACTGTGTGTATGTAGTGTGGTGACTGTGTGTATGTGGTGTGGTGACTGTGTGTATGTAGTGTGGTGACTGTGTGTATGTGGTGTGGTGACTGTGTGTATGTGGTGTGGTGGCTGTGTGTAAGTGGTGTGGTGAATGTTTGTATGTAGTGTGGTGACTGTGTGTATGTAGTGTGGTGACTGTGTGTATGTAGTGTGGTGACTGTGTGTATGTGGTGTGGTGACTGTGTGTATGTGGTGTGGTGACTGTGTGTAAGTGGTGTGGTGACTGTGTGTAAGTGGTGTGGTGAATGTGTGTATGTAGTGTAGTGACTGTGTGTATGTAGTGTGGTGACTGTGTGTATGTAGTGTGGTGACTGTGTGTATGTAGTGTGGTGGCTGTGTGTATGTGGTGTGGTGGCTGTGTGTATGTGGTGTGGTGCCTGTGTGTATGTGGTGACTGTGTGTATGTAGTGTGGTGGCTGTGTGTATGTGGTGTGGTGACTGTGTGTATGTGGTGTGGTGACTGTGTGTATGTGGTGTGGTGACTGTGTGTATGTAGTGTGGTGACTGTGTGTATGTAGTGTGGTGACTGTGTGTATGTAGTGTGGTGACTGTGTGTATGTAGTGTGGTGGTTGTGTGTATGTGATGTGGTGCCTGTGTGTATGGTGGCTGTGTTACATGATGAACACTCTGCACACACTCACAAGGAAGTGATCTTAGGGATGATGCTGACACAAGCAGCCAAGCGCCTCTCCACCAATGAACTGCGCGCACACACACACACACACACGTGCAAAAGACAAACATCCCTGAGTAGCCTTTAGCAGACTGTTGGGGCAAGTGCTGTTAGCGAGTACCTATGATGGCCAGAACGGCACACGAGGGGATGGGTGTCCGGCACCACACCCAGCCGCATTTGTCTCGCCAGTGGCAATGTTTACACACTGCACCAGGTACTCATTTGAGACTCAGTCAACCTAGGGGAGGCCCAGAACTGGTGCAGATAATCGTCACTGGGTTGGTTCGCGAGCATGAATCGAACTCGGGTCGCCGGGTTCAAAGCGCAGCGCGCTAACCGCCACACAACCGCTCCCCACGTGCACGCACACATGCCCAGTGGCGCATGCGGCCGGCGTGGATCTCCATGCGAGTCCCTGGGGACTCCACGCGAGTCGACAAGCGAGCCAGTGAGTGGATAAACGAGTCGGTGAGTCAAGGAGCGAGTGATCGGGCGTCCACGGTCCCAGCACTGCAAGGTTCTGGCCGAGCCACTGCAGGTACGCAGCTTTGCCCTGCTAGATCCTGAGACCTTTGACCTCCTGGGACAGTGTAGCCAAGTCAAAGCCATTTGCTGCTAAAATGAACATTGCCGCATTGTGGCTCATATCCTGGTTACAGCACTGAGCCCACATTTCAATGCCGGGTGCCACGATCGCATTCCAAGCGAGGATATCTTTCTCTAAGTAATTGTACGAGTTTGTATAGTAGTCTGTAGGCTTCTCTTGATGAAAGTTTGAAGATTCTGTGGGTTTCCATGCAAGTCTTTGTTACTTCTCTATGCAAGTCTATGGGGGTATATATGGGTGCTATGCAAGTCTTCACTTCTCTCTGCACGTCTGTGGGTTTCTACATGACCCCGTTATTCTCTATGCCAGTCTATGGGTATCTATGAGAGTCCATGGGTCTCTAAGCGAGCCTTATGCTACTCTAAGTCTATGGGTGTCTCTGTAAATCTTTGGGTGTCTCTGTAAGTCAATCGGTGTCTCTGTAAGTCTATGGGTGTCCCTGTACGTCAATGGGTGTCTCCAAGTCTTTGGATGTTTCGGTACGTCTATGGCTGTCATCAATGATGGGTGTCTCTCTGTGCCACCTCACCGTGCCATGTCGCGCGCCACAGCCTCCGTAGGGCACGTGATCATGACGACCGAGTGCTGCCCCGGTAGCGGTCTTCCCGTTGCCTTGGCAATGAGCCAGGCCGAGCCACGCCGAACCACAGGGAGGAGAAGGAGGCTGACCACCAGCAGCTGCAAAGACAAAGATCCCCCGTGTACTTTTAATGGGTAGTTTGGGCAAGTGCTGTTAACGAGCAGCACCTATCAAGGCCGGCACGGCACACGATGGGGTTGTCTGGCCAGGATTACGCCCGGCCGCCTTTGTCTCCCCAGTGGTGATGTTTATACTGTACACCGCTGAGTCGACTTGGGGGGAAGACCCAGGACCGGTTCGGTATTCATCACCGATGTTGGCTGTGAGAGGGAATCGAACTTGGGTCGCCACAGCTCCAAATGTACACCCCCACACAACCTCATCAATAGCAGACCACCGATGACTGACCACAACGGCAACCACAACAGCAACCACCACAAAAACAACCAAGACTACACCGCCAATCACAACCCACAACTGGTCACTGCGACAACCAAAACACCAACAAAACCAGAGCACAACAACCACCACCAAACCCACCATAACTACCACCACAAACACTACAACCACCACAACCACCACCACCACCTTAAACACTACAACCACCACAACCACCACCACCTTAAACACTACAACCACCACAACCACCACCACCTTAAACACTACAACCACCACAACCACCACCATAAACACTACAACCACCACAAGCATCACCACCATAAACACTACAACCACAACAACCACCATTAACACCACAACCACCATAAACACTACAACCACCACCACCATAAACACTACAACCACCACAACCACCATCACCATAAACACTACAACCACCATAAACACTACAACCACAACAACCACCACCACAAACACTACAACCACAACCACCACCACAAACACTACAACCACCACCATAAACACTACAACCACAACCACCATAAACACTACAACCACCACCACCACAAACACTACAACCACAACCACCACCATAAACACAACCACCACCACAAACACTACAACCACAACCACCATAAACAATACAACCACAACAACCACCATAAACACGACAACCACCACCATAAACACTACAACCACAACAACCACCATAAACACTACAACCACCACCATAAACACTACAACCACCACCATAAACACTACAACCACAACCACCACCACAAACACCACAACTGCCACAAACACTACAACCACAACCACCATAAACACTACAACCACAACCACCATAAACACTACAACCACAACCACCACAAACACTACAACCACAACAACCATCACAAACACTACAACCACAACAACCACCACAAACACTACAACCACCACAAACACTACAACCACAACAACCACCACAAACACTACAACCACAACAACCACCACAAACACTACAACCACAACCACCACAAACACTACAACCACCATAAACACTACAACCACAACAACCACCACAAACACTACAACCACAACAACCACCACAAACACTACAACCACAACAACCACCACAAACACTACAACCACAACAACCACCACAAACACTACAACCACAACCACCACCATAAACACTACAACCACCATAAACACTACAACCACAACAACCACCACCTCAAACACTACAACCACCACCATAAACACTACAACCACAACCACCATAAACACTACAACCACCACCACCACCACAAACACTACAACTACAACCACCACCATAAACACAACCACCACCACAAACACTACAACCACAACCACCACCATAAACAATACAACCACAACAACCACCATAAACACGACAACCACCACCACCATAAACACTACAACCACAACAACCACCATAAACACTACAACCACCACCATAAACACTACAACCACCACCATAAACACTACAACCACAACCACCACCACAAACACCACAACTTCCACAAACACCACAACCACCATAAACACAACCACAACCACCATAAACACTACAACCACAACCACCACAAACACTACAACCACAACAACCACCACAAACACTACAACCACAACAACCACCACAAACACTACAACCACAACAACCACCACAAACACTACAACCACAACCACCACCATAAACACTACAACCACAACCACCACCACAAACACTACAACCACAACCACCACCACAAACACTACAACCACAACCACCACCACAAACACTACAAGCACCACCACAAACACTACAACCACCACCACCACCATAAACACTACAACCACAACCACCACCATAAAAACTACAACCACAACAACCACCATAAACACTACAACCACAACAACCACGATAAACACGACAACCACCACCACCATAAACACTACAACCACCACCACCATAAACACTACAACCACAACAACCACCACCACAAACACTACAACCACAACCACCACCATAAACACTACAACCACCACCATAAACACTACAACCACAACCACCACCATAAACACTACAACCACCACCACCACCATAAACACTACAACCACCACCACCATAAACACTACAACCACCACCACCACCATAAACACTACAACCACAACCACCATAAACACTACAACCACCACCATAAACACTACAACCACCACCACCATTAAGACAACCATCCCAAATACAACCACACAACCACCACCACTACCACCACCACTAACAACACAACCAGCAGCAGCCCCTACCACTCACGGCCACGATCACCGCCAGCGCCCCCGCCGCCCTCCTGCAGCAGGGAGCCGCCTTGCACGCCATCGACAGTCGTGGTGGTGGTGGGCTCGCCGCTGTTGTCGTTGTTGTTGTGGTGGTGGTGGGTCCCGTCGTTGTTGTTGTTGTGGTGGGTCTCGTTGTTGTTGTTGTGGTGGGTCTTCTTGTTGTTGTTGCCCCCTCGTCTGCCCCAGGGCGAGGTCTGCCCTCACGTCTCCTCATACGGCGACTCCGTCTCCACCGGCAGCGCGTTACCAAGCATCCATCTTAGTAGCCCAACAACAACAACTCAGAGTCGCCATTCATTGTTACCGCGACTAACACGTGGCATCAACTTTAATAACAACAACTATTATTATTATTATTGATGTAGTCGTCGTCACCCGAACACAAAGTCATCGTGAACAAGTACAGTCGCCCGGATGCGGTTGAGACGGCGAGGCGCGACTTGCTGGGCGTGGTGCTGCCATCTAGAGACGTTGGTGTAATAATTACACTCGCGACATTTGTGTTATTCCTGGATAGTAAGTGTTATTTTCGAATTGCTTACGCCTCAAAAGTACAGAGAATGGCTATTATTATTATTCCCCACAAACTTTGCTTTTGTGACCAGGACAGTGATATTTTGAAATTTGCCGATTTTCAACGAGAAACACGTAGTGTCAACGAGAAACACGATGGTTCTAGATTTGAAGCGTTCGTGACTGCAAGGATCCATACTCTTTGGTTCTATTCGGTAAAGTCACGTAGGTAAAAAAATAAAATAACAAAAATCACGACGTTTCGGCCACAACACAAGCGGCCTTCATCAGGTGAAGGGACCGGACTGTCTCGAGGGCCTGATGAAGGCCGCTTGTGTTGTGGCGGAAACGTCGTGATTTTTGTTGTTTTATTTTTTTACCTACGTGACTTTACCGAATAGAACCAAAGAGTATGTAAAGAACACGTGGTGTCAATGAGAACACGTGGTGCCAATGAGAACACGTGGTGCCAATGAGAACACGTGGTGCCAATGAGAACACGTGGTGCCAATGAGAACACGTGGTGTGCGTTTGTTCCTTCACTTAAAGTCCTGGTCACAAAAGCAAAGTTTGTGGGGAATAATATCCATGCTCTGTACTTTTGAGGCATAAGCAATAAGGAAACAACACTTACTACCCAGGAACAAAAATCGTGTTACAGTGTTATTATTAAGGAAACATTTTTTTCGATTTAAAGCTTTCGTGACTGCAGGGATTCATCTTCTGGGTTCTTTCAGTAAAGTCACGTAGAATGGAGATAGATAACATAATGAAATAAATAATAACAGAATAAAATTCTCTCGACGTTTTGGCCACAACACAAGTAGCCTTCCTCAGGTGAAGAAACAGGACTGTCCGAACTCAAGCGCTGTCTTCCGGACAGTCCTGTTTCTTCACCTGAGGAAGGCTACTTGTGTTGTGGCCGAAACGTCGTGAGAACTTTATTCTGTTATTATTATTTTTATGATTTTATCTCCACCCTCCGTTCCGAACGTCTGAACAAAGCTCGTCGCTCTCCGTGGTGTTAATCCCTCATACTGACATCATGCTAATCCCCCAGTTACATGCTAATTTACTGTTGATATGTAAACTCCTCTCCCCCCTCCTCCGTTCCGTACATAGATGGATTCGTCCGTCTGAACAAAGCTCGTCGCTCTCCGTGGTGCTAATCCCTCACACCAACATCATGCTAATCCCCCAGTTACATGCTAAATTATATGTAAACTCCTTTGTCAAGGTGCTGTGTTCCTCCCACACAGCTTAAAAGATGCTTCCAAGCTTGGCAGGGTTCACTCAAGCGCTGTCTTCCGGACAGTCCTGTTTCTTCACCTGAGGAAGGCTACTTGTGTTGTGGCCGAAACGTCGTGAGAATTTTATTCTGTTATTATTTATCTCCATTCTACGTGACTTTACCGAAAGAACCCAGAAGAAGAGGTCTACACCAATTAAAGAGTTGTTTATAAAGGTTTATAGGTGGGCGGGGCAACTAATGTTAATGTAGGAGAGGGCTCCGACACCGCCAGTAGGTCTACACCAATCAAAGAGCTGTTTATAAAGGTTTATAGGTGGGCGGGGCAACTACTGTTAATGTAGGAGAGGGCTCCGATACCGGCAGTAGGTCTACACCAATCAAAGAGCTGTTTATAAAGATTTAGAGATGGGCGGGGCAGCTAATGTTAATGTAGGAGAGGGCTCCGATACCGGCAGTAGGTCTACACCAATCAAAGAGCTGTTTATAAAGGTTTAGAGGTGGGCGGGGCAGCTAATGTTAATGTAGGAGAGGGCTCCGACACCGCCAGTAGGTCTACACCAATCAAAGAGCTGTTTATAAAGGTTTAGAGATGGGCGGGGCAACTAATGTTAATGTAGGAGAGGGCTCCGATACCGGCAGTAGGTCTACACCAATCAAAGAGCTGTTTATAAAGGTTTAGAGATGGGCGGGGCAACTAATGTTAATGCTGGAGAGGGCTCCACACCGCCAGTAGGTCTACACCAATCAAAGAGCTGTTTATAAAGGTTTAGAGGTGGGCGGGGCAACTAATGTTAATGTACGAGAGGGTTCTGACACCGGTAGTAGGTCTACACCAATCAAAGAGCTGTTTATAAAGGTTTAGAGGTGGACGGGGCAACTAATGTTAATGTAGGAGAGGGCTCCGACACCGCCAGTAGGTCTACACCAATCAAAGCATTGCACCTCGCTCCACACACTCACACTGCTGACGGTGGAGGTTGACAAGAAAACACAAATGAAGGCATGACCCAAAGTGGTTGATGACATCTTTCCAATGATTGCTTAGTCTATAACCTTCCTCTCGGTTGAAATTGTCTCTGTGTCTGTATATATGGATGGCTTCATGAACGAATCTTTGTTAGCCAGTAGGCTAACAAAGATTTTTTTTACAATGGGAGTAACCGTGACGCTTCCGTTGGTGATTTAAACCATTTTGCCTCATGTTAGCTACAAGCCACACGCTCCGATCTCCAGACGCGGCAAGCAATTGAATCGACGATGCGAGTTCATCGTTTATTGTTGACAACCACAAATGGCAACAGCAATAAGAACAACAAACGAAACGACAACAAAAATCACCGGACGAGTTTTGACATTCGGCGACTTCATCAGCAGCGTTCAGGCTTCCCTCGAGACGTCGGAGCAACGCCAGTACAACTTTGGACCCGTTTCAACGTTCGGTGTCTCTCGGCTGGCTTGTTTTGAACGCCCGGCCGCCTTTGAACCCCCCAACACTGACATTTACACATCGCACCTCATTTGGGTACCGTGCTGTGAGATGTTAACTACCTCGCCTGGTGTGCAGGAGGTCGTGGGCTCGATCCCGACCCTGACGACGCCTGCTGCTGTATATTTGGAGTCTGCGTCTATCTCTCTCTCTCCCCGTGGTCGCGAGGATTTTTCTCCGGGTTCCTCCAGATTTCTCCGCCACAATTAGAATCAACATCACCACGCGTTTCGAGAGTATATGGCTGTTGCTATAAATTTCCACGTGATAAGCCACTTCGTTGAGCTATCATTTGTGAAAACCAGGTCGCTTCTGATGAAAAGGTAATGCCGCTTGGTTGATTCAGAGTGAGACCTCTGTTACCCTATCACTCATGGGGCGTTGAGGGGGTGGAGTATTGGACGATATAAAATACCCAGGCAGGTGCTTAGTTTTGGTGGAGCTGATAGTAAGGTCCCAACTCTCTGGTTCTTTCGGTAAAGTCACGTAGTTAGAAAAAATAATAAAATAACTCGACGTTTCGGTCGCAACACAAGCGTCCGTTATCAGGTGAGAAAGAATGATCTGTTGTGGCTTTATAGAGACATGGGAGGGGGGGGTGTCGAGTCGTGGCTGCAGAAGTTCACGGGGGGGGGGGAGAGGAGGGAGGGTTTGTGGCGTGCAGGGACGGGTGGGGGCTGGAGAAATTAGCATATCCATGAGCTTGAATTAGTCAACGAAAACAGAATCACAGCAGTTAAAACTTGACGTGGTGTATCACGTCCTTCCAATGATTGCTCAATCTGATTCCATCTTCTCGATTAAGGTTTTGTCTGTGTTTGTATATCTGGATGGCGTCATGAACAAATCTCTGATGGTAGCCCGAGGGTTTGCAGAGCACCTTGGTCTCGGAAAAAAATAATGTCACGTGTGCCCACCGCGTTGAAACAATGATCCACCACCGCCGAAGTGTTGGTTCTGCCATGTTTCAAATCCGCTTTGTGTTCATGAACCCGGTCTGAGACACGTCGCCTCATTTCACCAATGTAACTGCTGCCGCAGACACAACTCAGCTTATAGACAACAGGACGTTGCATGTCCGGAATCGCATCCTTCACCGATGGGATAAAATCACGGATTTTGTGTACTCTATTGAACCGAACTTGGATCTTGTGTTGGTTCAAGATTTTGGACATCCTTTTGGTGACCGCTGCTATGTATGGCAAGGTGATGGTTTTGATTGGGTCCTCAGATGGTTCTCTCTACACGGTTGGGGATGCAGCTTTGCGGATTGTGTGGTCAGAATATCCATTCCTCCTGAGAGCTTGGCATACGTGCTCAAGCTCACTGGCTAGGTGGTGCTGGTCGGAGATGCAACGAGCCCTATGGTGTAGTGTTTTGATGAGATAATTCTTCTGGGCTGGATGGTGGTGGGAGTCAAGTTTTAGATCGGAATCCGTGTGGTTGGCTTTGCTATAGACAGTGTCCCAACGAGCCATCAGGTCGCTTCTCAATCAAAACATCCAGGAATGGTAGCTTGCCATTATTTTCCACTTCCATGGTGAATTTGATAGATTGGTATATGGAATTGATGTGGTTGAGAAATTGGTACAGTGCTGGCAGGCCATGTGGCCAGATGACGAACGTGTCATCTAAGTATTTTTTTCCACAAGGAAGGACATAGGGTGGATGTCTGGATGGCATCTGTCTCAAATTTCTCCATGAAAACATTCGCGACCACTGGTGATAGGGGAGAGCCCATTGGGATACCTTCATTCCACCTCCCTCCACCAGAGCCCTGGCTCTGGTGGAGGGAGGTGGAATGCATGGAGCTCCCAATCCTGGGGGTTGCATTGAATATTTCTGGGTGGAGGTGATAGGAGTGGTGACGGTGGCCGTGGCGTAGAGGCCGGGAGTTGAGGTGGAGCCGAGGGCAGGAGAGGAGGTATGAAGAGGCGGGCATAGAGAGGGAGGGAAGATCATGGCCAAGAAGACATCCCTCAACTGCACCAAGGCATCGATTAACCTCCCATTGTATCTGTACTAGATGGAAATTCCTCTGGTACAGCCATGGAAATCTTCCTGAACTACATGATCGAAAAATATGTTAAATAATGTAGGAGCAATTACACACACTCACAGACGAACATCGACACAAAACACGTGCTCTGTTGTACCGCACAGGAGCCCACACGCACACCGCAGTGTTCAAGAAAAACAATGCGCATTTATTTACCATAACAACCACCTGTCCTACCACTCAGAGCAATGTCCCTCACATGGCCATCAATGCGATATATATATACAGTACATAGTTCATCACGGCCACCCGATCAGCAGGAGTCACATGTGTGACCAGTCCGTGAATGTCGGGCTATGATGATGCAGTGGTGTGGGTTGGACAAGGGGCGGATGATGTCTGTCGTGGAAATCTGTGGAGCGGCACAGAACAAAAACGGGACGGGTGGCCCAGT